AGTTTCTCTCGACCAAGTCATTGCTTGGCATCGCTTCCACCTCTTCCATCCAGTCCCTAGGCACGCAAACAACGCACGACGCGGGAGTTGGTGTGCTGGCATGCGCAACACGTAGCTTAGCCATCGGGGCCTGATGCGTGATATAATGGTGCTAAGCGGTTCACTCGCTCTTCATACACCAGATGCACGACATGGGACACGTTCATTGCTCACGCGGTGTTTCCCACCAGACATGAGCTAAGTTGCGGAGGCAGCGACGATGGAGCGTAGCCTGCCTCTTTATGTCTGTCGACCTGATGGACCAGGTTTCGCAACTGTATATGATGGTTGAGCGGACGGCTGCATTATAAGCTCTGCCCTTCACGAAGGGCGTGATGTCGCGTCGGCGCCACAAGTGGTGGAGATTAGCAAAAGCGCCTCGAACTTTTACTCTACGATTCATGACGTCATCTTCAATCCCACGTGCGCTAATATAGCTGCCCAGTTTTCTGGACCACACCTAGCTAATCACCGGCCAGGGTAAGCGCAGGAGTGGGTCCCTGCCAGTCTTGGAGAAGGGCGTTGGATTTCGATTTAACGAAACATAGTCCAAAACAACTGACATTCGGAGCTAGTTTATTCAGTGCTGCTTGGCACGTTTGTGAGCTGTCACAGATGAACGCAATGTCCTCGGCACACTTCAAGTTAAGAAGTCGATCACCTGGGAGGAGTTCCACACCTTCTAAGTGGTGCACAGCGGGCACCGTTCCTATGGCTTCGTCAATAGTGAACTTAAAGAAGAAAGTGCACAAGAGGCAACCCTGTCTCACACCGCTGATATTGAAGGGCGGTGAATGTTTGCCATAAACCCTCACTCTGCATGAACTGTACACGTACAGTGCTCTTATGACATTTACATATTTCTCGGGGACACCTTTCCTGAATAAACAGGCCCAAAGCGCACATCGACCAACCAGGCTGGAGTCCACGTGGCTCGCCTTGTGCTTGGCTGGAGACTTTACAAGACATGGCTCGCAGTCGGCACCATTGGCGCTTCTGCTGCCGTCCCCTAGTCGGATTGCCTGTTTAAGCTGTGTTTGGTGCCGAGTTATCTGTGGGGTAGTACCTGATTATGACGCGGTACACTGAAAGTCGCAATGAAGCTGTCTCGTGGATGCCATCTTGTCTTTGCACGATAGCCAGCTGTTTGTGATGGCGTTGTTGACAAGATGTAGGTGCTTTGACCCTGAATGTTTGCTTAGGGCATTAAGGTCTTCCGGTAACTCTTTCTTCTATCCCTCTTATTATTCTTCGTTCCGTCGGTCACCGTACTTGTTCGGCAGCGAAGAATCAGTTCAAATGACCGATGTACTACTGTTGTTTATGACCATATCTTGATTTCCAGTGCTTAGGTCACCTTGTCTGCTGTTTATTTCAGTCTCTTTTTCCGTTCCTTCCCTTTTGTTTTATTTCCATTTCACGTGACCGACTCAGCTGGGACTGTTGGTGCGGTACACTTGGGCATTGATTGGTTGATCGCGGTGTGATACGCGCACGCTGATTGTACACTCGGATGACAAATTATTGCGGCTTAACCTACCCCGGATCTACGATGCTCTCTCAATGCAACATCCATGGAATTCTCCTCGTGTTCATGTCCCACTTAAATTTGAGCCTAATGAGTATCATCCATTGGGTTGTCCAACCCCTGAGCTTATATAAAGCACTCTGAACTGCTTCAGAACTCACAAAGATATGTACAATATTCCAGAGGTCATCAACAGACAGTAGCAAATGTACCTCCTTCTCCTGGGGTAAGTTATTGACATAAATTGCAAAACTTAGCAGCCTTAAGACCGAGTCCTGCGAAACGCAGCTAAGAACAATTGCTTCAAGTGAAAGGTACACCACACGCGTACGCACTGTTCTCTGCCCTCTAGAGAAGCAGACGCCCATCTGAGGGCCACCAAATACCACAGTCGACCTCAAAGTTAGTATAAGTTGTAAACGTGAAACCGCATCAAAAGCTTTTAAGAAGTCTATGAAATACATCAATAGCGTGGCCAGTGTCCACTGCTTCAGCCTAGCTTTCACGAGCTACAAGTGCATCAGTGTTGTGCACCGCTGAGATGCCCAAATTTATTCAGGCTGTTCTCCACCGAATCCCTCACTAGTTTTTTTTAAACAACTTGATTACTACGCTTGTCGAATTCGTACGCCGACAGTTCGCAGACAGAATGTTGTCACTGTCTTTAAAAATGTCGCAGTTTCACCTCTTTCCATTCCTAAGGTAAGGCGCAGCTGTCGAGCAGTTTTAGAAAAACGCATGTAGGAGGACCACTTAGTTCAGCGGCCAATACATGAAGCTGCTTCGGATGAATTGAATCTGGATTAGAAAAAGGCATCAGCAGTTCGCCGATATGTAGTACCGAGGCTTCGCTTCGGTTCAACCGCCACCAGTCGCACATGTGCTAATGATACTGCGATGATCACGCGGTCTTTACACAGGCTCTATCCCGCACCGTCGCATTACAAGATAGGCTTGTGATGCCTAAGTCTACGGGTCAGAAGCTTCAAAAGGATTTAGTCCTTGCAATAGCCTGAAGACTTGAGTCTCCGTTATGCTGATTTCATTTAGACAGGAATCCTTCGGGACTCTTGTTACCAGCTCAGCCTATTTTAGAGAAGTCTCACGAGCAGACACCAGTATACTGTTCACTAAGTATGGTTGTCATTATCCGGATTTGCCTGTCGCTGTGGCCTCCATAGGACAGCTACAGGACGCCTGCGCCTACCGACTGGGTGGCTTGCGCTGCACAAACCACAGCTCCATCCACACCCCATATCCAGTGTAAACCCGAACCAATAAGACCGGCAGGCATGTGGATGGGAGCCATGTTTCATCAACGGAGCCGGCCCACACTCCTTCACAGGCAAAGACAGGCACGCTGTATTTGGGAAATCAGGCGCACACAAGGCGGTGGCTGGACCGTAGTCCGCTCCACACTGGATGGGACCACTCTTCGAGCCTAGCACGGCCACGAGGACCGTGCACCCAGTCCCCCCACCAATGATTCACAATCTCCTGGGGCCAGTAATCGAGCTGGAGGGTGTTAGACAAGTAAGCACTTTGTCAACATTCACATCAAACGCAGCCACAGCGGGGATATCAAACAACCAACATGGAATTTAAGGGGAAGGAAACACGCAAAGTAGACACAGTATATGCAGCTAAGTAACAGAATTGTACAAACCAACTAAAGAGGAATAACTATTATCCAGATTAAAAAGACTTAGATTAAGTGTAAGTTGGTTTAGCGCAACTGCGGTGAAGTAGCCTCATGAATGCAACATCAATCTCGGCATGAGGTTGCACACAGGTTCCATCCGTTTATAGTAACGCTGGTATGAACAGATTTGCACCGCGCGCCCCTTTATGTAAGCCAAGCACTTCTTGGGATTAGTTACGACTGCATTACTTAAATTCTTCTCGTCTTGGCGACGGGCATTTCTCAGATGTTGCTTACATTTATTTCCAACCTCTCGATAGCTTTCGTAGGTGCTGGTTGATGGGGCCGCTCACATAAACTGGATATGTTGAGAATCTGCATTTTAAGTCGTTGGATTAATCTGTTGAAGCCCTGTCGACTGTGCACCTCCTCCTCCCCGTATATATGCTCCACAGCTTCAGGCACGACATGTGTGATACGCACAGATTCAAATGAGATTCGTTCCTGACCTTGTCAGTACAGCAGATTACGAAAATCAACTCCATTCTTCGTCGATGCCTAGACGGCGAACCCTGCTGACAAACATGTTCAACAAATTTGTGGGTTGCATCCGGATCATGATTTAAAGTCGCAATGCACATGTCGAAGGCTTAGGTCGTCTGCTCCAGCATACTTGGGCTATGTTTCACATTATGGGAAGCTAGGAGCACCACCGTCTTTTCTTCATTCTGATCTTAATGCCTTGATCCTCTCTTCTAATTACTTTTAAGGCATCTGTCTTTATAGCTAGATGTAATCCAATAAACACACTCAGCTCTGTCAACTATTGAATCTCTGAGATATATATGGCAGCTTGACACTATTTGTATCATACTAGCTTATAACATCCTAATTGTATTTGTATCCTTGATGGTCGGCTACCATCAAACATGGCTCAGTTTCATAACCTACTAGCTAACGGTGCACGCTACTAGCGGTCATGTGTTCGATTCCCAGCAGGGGACTGACGGAAGGCGCATCACTGGCGAGCCACAATATGTCGAAACGATCGTTTTTACTTTCCCGGATTGGTAACTCAACTTTGTGGCTTGTACTCTAACCTCGGATGAATTAAATAAAGGCATCCTAATTGTTTAGGCAGCTCATTTGAATCGCTATCGGTCCATCCCCTTCGTTTTCATCTTTGTTCCTCTCGTCACCCCTTACGTATTAGCCGTGTTGCCAGTTTTTGTCCAACCGCTGAACTGCTGGAATCACGTTTGTGATCCAACGTTTACCAGTACACCTCAACGACGCACTTCCCTACCCACGTGTTCTGTCCGCTTGTACGTCCATCTTTTAATCAGAACCTGTTTTGGAGCAATTCCATCAAATCACCTGTTGTCAGTCAGCGATGCGGCCTTGTGCATTGATTTTTTTGCAACCTAACAAGATGCCCACTCTAACTTTACTTATTGTCGTCACAATCACTCAAGTCATTAGCGACCATTCATTCAGACAATGGTTGCGGATTCTACGATTGTAAACTCGGTTCATAGTAATCCCCGCTTACTTCTGTTAAAACATTCCATTTGTATTTGCTTGAGATATGAGCAAGTAGTCGTTTTCCTACCATGTTCTGTGGATTTATTGTGGACACCTGACGTGTCTGCTTTTGGGTTTTTAATCTCAAATTTCATGACCTTTTGTTATGGTCACAATGAACGTGCTTCTTGATTGCATTTAAATATGCCTTCGCTTTCTCCACAGCATCATCCCATACTCTATCCTTCGAACTGAGAGCCTCTTACTATGTTACCTGGAAGATCGGGTGAGCTGGTGGTTTGCTCCCTTCTTCGTCAATTTATCGCACTGACGAAATCGAAGATCGACAAGGCACTCAACGATAGACAAGTTGTTCCTTTTCCACTTGCGTTTAATCACTTTGTTAACTTTACAGGAGAACAATCTACTCAAGTGCATGCAACTGTCCGAGGACGTTGCCTACGAACAGTTACTCGACGCCCTTTATGCCTCTGCCGAGTTCGCACTTCCCTCCCTATTACGCATTTTCCTCCAATGGTATCACTCACAACATTCAACCGGAACACAGTATTCCGTTCATCGGAGGCGCTGTCAATCTAGTGGGGCACAAACATACCTGGCGGATTCCATGACAAGTAGCTATTTTTCTGGTTCAGCAGATAAGGAAAACCAACGTTCTATCGATGTCCCTGCAGTTACACCGTTGCCCACAGGGAGGCCAGATAAAATGGTGAAAAGTGTTTGTGAAATGAGTAGTGTTTTGAGATCGATCTGTTTGACCTCTTCGGAGGCCCGTACACTTGCGGAGCGTCGTGATGTAGGTTTTTCCGTACTCACCTGATTTCGGTTCCAGCTGGCTATTGACATAATATTTTGTCAAGTTCTACTGTCCATATTGCGTCAACTTTCTTATCACCCTGGACACAACGAAGAAATTGAACTCGTACTTGAACAGTCCTTTAAAAGGTTCAAATATCGTGAGGAGTACGTTTTGTTCCTTTGCCGTAATGCTGTCTTTTTGACGGACTTTTGTGTTGAAGCGAACTGCTTTTTGTTTTTTGATCTGGGTGTTTTTTCAACACTGAGCTACACAGAGCCATTCTTTCCTTCTTCTAATTACGCTTGTTGGAACTGATACTCTTTAAGGTACAGTTTTTGCATATTCATCTAACATATTTGACACTGCATTATATTTCTGTTCTGTTAATTCGCCCAAAAATTTTTAATCATTACTTCGTAGCGTTTTGCTTATCCTTTTCCATATACTCAGTATCTTCTTTTTCCCAGTCTTCTCTCACAGAACACGGAGAACGTCAACATCGTAGCTGACCTGTATGCTGAAATTGTGGGCCTCCTGTCACAAACCAGGTTGGTTGAGTTTCGCACATTAACCTTAGTTTGCATTAGTCTACATACTAATTGAGTTCCCATTTTTAAGGTCAAACGTTTGTTAATTGCCTTCGCTTGTTTGTACTTGGTTTTTGTTACGTACTACTCGTTTATGCTACTGTGTTCCGCAGCTTTGTAGTATAGAATTTAGTAACTCACGGCCATCGCAAACTTACGCAATCAGTCTCCCATTGGCCGGTTGGTGTAATTCCTCTACCTGGTAATTTAGAGGTCTACGGTTCGAACCTGCGTAGGTGCAAGTGATTTCGTTTTCTCCGTATCCGTTGTGCTACTGGTAGTGGTCGCTTGGCTGCAAAGCGTCGACGCCTTGTGCCGGCGTACTTCTGATACCAATGAAAGTACACGCGCACATTTTGTGTCTGTGAACCACAGTTGATGTTCTCGGAAACTTGACTAAACACGTAAAGAAAGCCCTAATGTCGATATACATGAGCTCATTCAGACTGGTCTAAATCATCCAGTACTCTAGGGGAAGGAGTTACACCGCTACAGTAACAATGCCGCCGACCAACCAGTCTTGCACGATACAATTTGCATTCCGTTCTACCAGCATTTAAAGGGCTGAGAGAAGTGTGGAACTCGGATATTGTAATTGAACTGCTATCCTAATTTTGGAGACGATCCTCATCCAAGACCATTTGATTCAGATCGCTTTCGTTTTCTCATTGTACTGCAGCCTATGCTGCCTTACTTTGCTTTGTCTGATTGGCGATTGACATTTTCAGTGAACGAAAACGACGAACTCGCGGTAAAGATGGAGGCCAACAACGCGATTCACCGAATCCGCCTAACTAACTGCCACTAAGTAACGTGTGGAGCTAATTCCGTGAACTTCTCTGCCACTGTCCACCCATTCAATCCTACTCCGTTTCTCCAGTACGGAGGTTATGGCGACTCAGATGGTTTAAACCTCGAATAATCTACTGATTTTTGTTTTGCGGGTCACATTTGTTGTCAGTTCCATGCTTCTTTCAGCGAATGTCTCGCTCAGGAGAATCCGCAAAATGGAAGCAAGCGGTTAGTACAATTCAGTCGACAGATACGACACGAGGGTAATAGCCACATCGCAAAGACGACATATATGTTGAGATTTCACTACTGCTTGTCGTGTGCATCTGTTCTTTGGGAACAGAACGATAACTATAAAACATATTCACTCGCTGGAACTTAGCGCATGCTGGCAATGCCTTATGGTATGCTTTACTCTGCTTCGCTGAATCAACATTCCGACAATACCGGATGTGCTTTTGACGTTACAAAGACTTTATCAATTTAGGCACACACTTTTTCCGTCGTATGGCCATCCTTGCTGATGAAGACACTCGCACAATCAATCAGTTCCTGTTGTTGGGTCTCTTTGATGATACTATTTTGACAGGATATTTCCCAGAAGATGGAGTGTGTAACTCGTCCAACAACAAACAACAACAACACCAGTACATCAGCCATTTGAACTGATGCTTCGTTACCATACAACCATGACCTATGGAATAAAGAATAATAACGCAGAAAAGTGGGATTCGCCCAGATGTCGTCTATTCTTTCGTTCAACGTAATCAGCGCTGCTCGAACGAAGATGTATTCACTGTTCGCGGCCATCCGAGTTTTTTATGTTAACAAGTTCTTTTCGTGTTTGGCCGTCGAACTTTTCGCTGAGCTTGGCAAGTTTTTTGGAAATGTTTCGTCATCAATCAATGTGACATGATCAGTGCGTTGTTGAGTAGCGTATAACAAGTAGCCTAGCGTAGGGAAGCCTCGATGATAGGCTACTTGCTACACGCTACTCAACAACGCACTGATCATGTCACATTGATTGATGACGAATCATTTGCAACAAACTTCCCAAACTCAGCGAACAATTCGACTGCCACCAGAACAACCTGAGTTACCAATTTTCACTTTTATTCTTATCGCGTTTAAATTCTGTGCTCCCCCCCCCCCACTGCTGATGGTGCTAGCAGCGATGTGGTCTCTAGAATCAGAAGCCTGCGTTGTAATCTGAGGGCACGGGTTCGACCTGTCTAGCAATCAGGCCATTCTCGCAGTATTCTTAGCCCATGTGCGACTGGATGGATGCGCAGCAGCGAAGCGTCTGTACTGCGTACCGGCGTAATGCTTATGTCCGTCAGTCCCCATGGCTTGCGTGCTTTGTGCATTTGTCCAGTGAACGAATCTATCTTATTGATCTTCGTGAATGAATTCTTTATTCCTACACATTCAGTATCCTGATTTCGACGTTTCACTGACAGAATCGGAATCGATTTTCAATTTTAACAACGTCATTGTTGATTCTAAGATATGACGACAAGTGAAGCCGCTATCACTGCATTCCTGATCGTGATAACTGCCTTCCATCTCATCAGTTACTGAGTCCTCCTAGTGCCCACCACCAGACACTGGTGGCAGATTGGCTGGGACGCTTTGGGTCATCATTCGGGGCTTGCCGATCCGGTTCTGTTTAGGTACTGGGGACCTCGCAGTATCTCAACCTACATGCGATTGTTGGTGGTTGCGTGGATCCGTAGAGCCAATACTTGTGATACCCTTTCGTCCACTCGTTATCCACTAACCGCCGGTTGGTGGCCGAAAAAACAAGGCGTCTGCCTTGTGACTTACAAGTCGCAGTTCGAGCCTACGCGGGGGACCAGGCGTCTCTCGCAGTATCCTTAGCGCACGTGCGACTGGTAGTGGTTACGTGGCAAGGAAGCGTTGGTGCAGCGTACTGTTGCTTCCTTAATTCTTTTTACTGTTCATTAGCCGGATAGGATGTTTCCGCACACATTGCACATCAGAAGATTACGCATTAAGGAAAGTGGCATTCGGTCCAAACTTATGCATTTGGTTTTGTTGCGATGAGTCTGTTGGTCGGGCGCTTTGGACTCGCTTGCTATCTACAGTAACCTGCTCCCATTTGGCTAGACTTCATAGGTTACCACAATGACGGATGCTACCATTTTAATTTTTGTTCTAACGTAGTCTTCCGTTTACCGCTTAGGTGATCGAACACAGACAAGCACCTTTATCTTCACCGCAGATAACAGCGCGTGCGTTCGCGCAAGTACTGGCTCGATATTTTGATATTTTTTATAATCCTGAATACTGTATTGTAGGAGCAAGTAGAAATTTGGATCTGTACAACTCCATCGAAATATGCTCAAAAATGTTACAAAAGCAGACTACGACTTTTCATTTCGCTGATCGTTTTTCACATTCTCACTTTATATCGTTAGAATATCCTTTAACACCGTAGATTAGGACTCAAAAATACGAGATGCCTGTGGGTAATCGTTCTCGGAATCTAATATTTGAGAAATACACATCCAATGATCGTTTGAACAGCTGCACTGAGTTCGCTTCCACTATATGTTCCGGCAAACCGTTCCAGACATTTACCACTTGCCGTTCCAGGCACAGGGGATGGGAAACTCACTTTATATCTGAAACCTTAAGCTTGTATTGGTGTCCGTGTGTGCTGCAAAGGGTTCGCAAATGAAGCAGTGGCCTTAGTATGGAGTGGTCGCCTACATGTGGAATCCGGCAGGTCATGATAAGGTCGACACGTAACCGACGATATGCCAGGGTGTACAGTCCCAGCCACGCGAACTTGAGATGAGCTTCGTGATGACGTATTTAACCCGTTCATGCTTCTGCTCCTCGCCGCGAGTGGTCGGGCAATAGGCGGGTGAGCCGTACTCTAGCGTTAGTCTGATGATGGAGGAGAAGAAGCGAGTGGCAACCTCTTCATACCCGATGCAGAAACTGCGTTTGCGTGCCAAGCGCATGCGCAGTCCGTTACGATACAGCTTGTTCATGTTGTCAACGGACTTCAAGTCGTAACGTGAGAGTACTCCTAGGCCCTTCACAGAAGGAGTGGGATGTAGCAGTTGGCCGTCGAGAATGTAAGTTCGGCCGTCATCCCTTTTCCCTAAGTTTATGAATACCGACTTGGATGCGTTGACCGGGAGGCGGACTTCTGCAGACCACACAAGAAGAAGGTTTTGGTCTTTTAGTAATAAGCCGCAGTCGTCGGGTGTGCTTATCACTCTCCCTATCTCCAGGTCGTCTGCAAACAGGGCGCAAGGTGACAGAAGAAGCTGAGGTAGGTCGTTGGTACAAATCAGGAACGATGTAGGCCCCAGGACCGTGCCTTGCGACACGCCACTGGTCGAAGAATACCAATCGGTCAGGTTTCTATCGACTTGTACTCTCCATTTTCATCTAACAAGAGTCCGGGATCCACTGGTGCAGAGATCCACCCGCACCACACACTCTCAGCTTTTGAAGGAGGACGTCATGATTCACCTTGTTTAACACTTTGCTGAAATCGATTTAGATCACGTCGACAGACTTCCCTTGGTTCACTGCCTGCATCCACTCATGCCTCTTGGGCATTTTCATCATTATCGTACTCTTTAAATCTCAGTTTTGTCTCCCTCTTTTAAACTCCCTAACAATAGGCCCTCCTCAATCTTGCTTTCCTACTCGCGTGTCTTCAACAACTCAAATGCAATCGCAGGGCATCGCTCCGTTCCAGTTGACTAGTTCCTGTTCACTCTGCGTTCATAGGTGGATGATTCTGGTTTGCTCCTCCCTAGGAAACTCCATGTGGTCGTCGAATGCTCGCGCGAGTATGGGTTTACACAGTACCAAGTAGCCACCCACAATCTCTCGGGGTGTACTTTCGATATGTTCTAGGTGCTCTGCTTGAGGCAGCTGTTTCGCGCATACCCACCCATTTCTATATTATTCAGAACAGTTCTTTGCTATCAAATTTGACTAATACCCCTCTGCTTTCTTTCTAGATTTCCCCTAGTACGCTGCCGATTTATGCGGTGTCTAAATGAATTGCGATCCAAGGAGAACAGCCCAAACGTCCGTCAAAGTATCATTTCCCTCATAATGGGGATGAAATTCTTTCGTGTGAAGGTATATGGATCCTTTCTATTATTTGCCTTTATCTTAACACTAAACGTTCGGCTAACAGTTTTCGATACTCTATCAACCTTCATCTCATCTTTTTGACAGTAGATTTTGGAAGCTTAAAATCCGTGACATTTCACTTGGTTTTGTGGTTACCTAATCGACGTTTATTTGCCTTGCTCCTTTATATGAGGTTTCATTGACTTGAACATTGCTTGGATCTCTATGATATTGAAATCAGTTCTCTGCTGGCAAGTGTCTGATTGTGACGCAGGGCAGTGAGGACCACAAGGAAGCTATTTCACGGATGCCTAGTTTTACATGATAACCAGTTGCTTGCAACGGTGTGTTGTTGACACCTGTTGTAGGTGCCTTGATCCTGACGGTCTGCTTAAAGCATTAACGTTTTACACCAAGTTCCCCATTCTTCCTCTTCCTCTCCTTTCTCCTCTAGACCATCGTAGTTGTACCTCAGCACTGTATCAGTTCGAAGTACTACTGTACTGTACTAATGTACTACTGTGGTTGTTACATTGCGATCGGTGTGGTTTCTCGTTGCTCAGCGCATGGAGAGAACTTGTCATCCACGAAAGCTGTAATATCCTTATTTGAACGGCATTTCAGCTGCTGATTTGGCCAACTTAACTGACGGGACTAACATGTAGATCGTCACCCGCCCCTCGCCCTTCTCACTTTCCGACCACTTTTCTCTTGACAAGAAGACACCGTTGTGTCTAGCCACACAAATGCACGATTTCCATGGGTCTCTACTTACATGCACTAATGCGATCGATGTTTTCAACTGAACTCGCATATACTAATTCACTACTTGTCTTACGGCTGGTTGTTGGCACGTTTATTCTTGTTCATCTGAGTGGTCAAAGTGCTGTTCTCTAACTGTTTGATTTTATCAGCTATGCGTTCTCCAAGTATTTGATTTTCTTTCATACCTGGACATCAGCAGTACGCCGACTCCTCTCTGCCACGCAACCACGAACAGTCGCATGTGGACTAAGGATACTGCGCGGGTCGCCCAGCCTCTACACAGGCTCGAACTCGCGCCGTCGAATTACAAGTCAGGCTTGTGATCCCTAAGGCAACTGACCGGCCTTTCTGACCTTACCTCTTGTCCTGTTTCTTGAAGTCTTACCCTCGTGCTTCCCTGTGAGGAGCTTGCTATTACGCATTTATTTAGTAGTGGTTACTATTTGGCTTCTTTAATTTACGGATTACGGCCGCTGCTACGGTGCTCTGTTGAATTGCCTGCCTAGGTTGCTTTACTCATTCACTTGTAGTTGGAATTTCGAAAACATTCTACCCAACACTGATATTTTGATGGTAAGTTTTGCGTTCAGGTGGTTTGGCAAAGCTTTTATGCTCAGCTGGTTTTTTAGATATTACACGCCTGCCCTACAGCTTCTTGTTAGACATTTTCACCATGGGAAACATCAAATAAGAAAATTTTCTCGTTCTTGGATACCGCCGTATCTGGTCCTTTTATTGGTGGTACGTCGAATTGCATCACTCATCTGACCAGAGGCTGCACGCTAGTTTGGTGGATCTTCTCCGATTGAGATTGTTTTAGTTCTCTGGAATTGCTTTCTTTTGTATATACCTCCTCTTTAAGTCAACCCTATTGGTTTCAGTAAAATTACGTTCCTTTTGCGATTTCATCAGATGCACCCCATTGAAGATTTTGTCAGTTGTTTCGTATTCTTACAAGAACTCGGACAATACTTCCTGGAAGCCAAGGAGCCGGAGATAAAACACGTCATCTCCGATCTGTTCGTGGAAATTTTGTTGCCTGTGGCTGCCGTCGCCAGACAAGAAGTCAACATCCCTGCACTGAAGCAATTTGTAGAAAATCTTTACCCCACCAGCGTTGATTTGGTGAACAAAAAGAAGCATATTCCGGTTAGAAGCGTTCTAACTACACGTTTTTAAGTTCAACATACTGGTTACAATCTCATCAACAATATCAGTGATCCTTTAGCGGTTCCCTTTCTTTTCTTTACATCAGTAACCCGCACTTACGCTTCATTGTCTTTCTAAGTGGACAAAGGATCATAGTGTAGGAGCTATTTGCCCCTGGCATGATCAGTTTTACCACAGCCTTAGATACATTTTAAGCAGTCGATCTGGTTTGGGAAACAACAGCAAACGTGCCACTAGTGCCTGCTGAGAGTGATATCCCGCTAACTCAATCCAACCACAGAATGGGTCAGGTGAACTCCAGCCTGAAAGATGAGCCGCATCAACTACACCCAGTCGGGTCATCGTCGGCTTTATTTTAATCTGCCTAGTCAGCTTTTGCCCACCTCCAGCTTCACTTACTCTTCGATTCGGAAAACAAAACAAAGCTTTCCTCTGTAGACGAAGAGTGGGCATATGAGCACATTCCTAAGCCGACACAACTTACTCAACGTAACTTTCGGTTCTAACGAACTTACCTGATTACCACTACTTAGTGTTCGCCTACGGACATCATTACTACCCATACACCGATGCAACCGGACAACACCGATGCCTACCCCCTAGATAGCGATGGTTATTCGGTAGTCGGGACACCAACTTAATAGGCTACAAAACGGCACAATTCCGGTATTCAGCTTCTCATCCTGCCTCTTCCCCCTTCCATTCCATCCTTGCTTTCCTTATAGGCTTTGTTTCCATTGGTTACCTGTCTTCTTTGCGTGGGAACTAAATCGTTTTTTCTCAACAACTGGACCAATTTTCTGACCATTTGTCTAAGTCACTTGAAAAATCGGAACCCGAAAATCGCTCTTGTCAGCCTGCAATCACTTTCATGTCTACTTTGGTGAGTCTAACTTACGGCTTTTCAGTTGTTGTTTTACATGCTAGAGGGAACCATTTCTTTCTCATCTTTTCTTCTTTGAACTTGAATGATCACGGTCTACTTACGGTATTTCGTAGATTCACAATGGGAGCTTGGATGAGGACATGCCATTCAAATATATACCTAATGTTTTTGTCATGGTTTGAGCGTCTTTGTTAGCCGGCGCGTACCCAAGCTTGTAACGACTCATCCGTGTGGTACGATCGCGAAGTTCGCACGTGATTGTGACGCTGTCTGCATCTACGCTGCCCATGTCCAACATCCACTGCACCATGCCAGCGTGTTATATTACTCCTGCACCATGTGACTATGTATGACTGTCCGAGTACGTGATCGTCCGCAGTACGTGCCACTGGCTGAGCAGACTATGCTTTACGATTACTGGGTGCGTGAATTTGGTACTTACTTAACTGCTTTCTACTTTCAGTACTCCTGTTGCATCTGAATTCCCCAAAAACTGATCCTGCCTACAGTTCTTTGTCTTCTCCTAAGTACGGGTATTCGTTACTTACGCGGTTAGTCCGATACACTAAGAATACTACAGTTTTCTCCGGTCATGGCAGCTCCAACTGCCTCTATGCCTGGCTTTCGTTATCATTTCATTATGGGCTATTCTTGTTCACAGAGATATTTCGCCCACCATAAAGGTGTATTTTCTCGTTCTTACGATACCACCGATGTACCTTGTTAGTCGCACTACAGTATGAAGAATGCAGTAAGATAGAGGAAAGTAATGTGACTCCGTTGATTTCTCCTTTCAGCGCTTACTTGAAGGTGCGAACTGTTAGGTTGTCGTGGGCAGTTTTTCGTAACTTATCCCATCTAAAAACGAAAGTATGAGAAACAACAAACGGAAATACAACCAGCACTGCGTCCACTCAGCTGACAGTCATACAACAATCGTACCGAAATCAGGGGAATGGACACAGCTGAACACGATTGAAAATGGCAGGGATTTGATATCCATCATATGGTGGGCTCAGAGGAGCATGGGTGTGTAAGCAACCCAAAGATGGAGGCAAGAAATATAAGTTAACAATAAAATTGCAGTAACTGTAGTGAGATGCAACGGGCTTTTGGGACCGGTCTACTTCCCAATGGACAATGAGTGGGGAAGCTACCTGTACGGTTACCAGGGAAGTTGGAATCAACACACAACAAGAGGGAGACGGCGATATAGAGTAGGTAAAGAAGTTTGTCTAGGGGCGAGACTCACCGGTCCTGATACTGCGTTTTCGAGCTCAGACTAAATCCGCTCTAAATAGTTCGCATAGCAAGGGGACGTGCTGTCAGCGGGAAGAGCTGTATCAGCCGGACGGTCAAGATTTGGAAAGTGTAGTGAACATGACTTGAGACGATTAATGACGACAAGTTGTTTAGCTTCGTGTTCTCAAATCGCCTCAGTTTGATGATATTTTCACTCATTGTAACGCTTCTGCAGCCGGTTTCATCTTGCTTCGTGTGGCCCGGTCCTTCTTCGAACTGTCTTTCGTCAACACTATGGGTTTTAGGAATTTGTTTTACTCCTCCACCTGACAGCCAAACTGGGAGCATTTTCTTGCATATGCATTAACTTTCGGCACATCTTCCCCCACCCCTTCTTTTGCTTTCTAGTCAACTCCCATCTGCCCAGCATCTGCGCAGACTAATTTTGTCCCGGATGCTTAGTTTTTGATCACTTTTTCCAAAACCTAACTGATTTTTGCTTTTTGGCCCCCTTCAGAAGCTCATACCTTCACTGTCCAGTGATGTGATGTCTAGCGGACTTCCAGCATCCTTAAAGCATCTGACCTTCCTGGTGCACCGGTATAGCAGTACTTCAACTCTAAGTCATTTAGGGTTCTAGGAAATTAGGGAAATTCTTACCGATCACGTTGCTAGTCATATCGAAACCAAAGATTTCAGCATTTCTTACAATCTTTGTGTCATTATTCCAGGGGGACATAGAACTTATCAAGTCCTGTAGACTTATCTCTCATGTATTTGCTATTGACAAGTAGGACGACAAACTTCTGATTCGTTGCGTCGAGAGCCCAAACACTAGTGTCGGTGTCTTTTCCAGCCTTTGATCTTTATGAAATATTTTGCAATATGTAATCTAACACATGTTATCGTATGAAACCAATCATAACCGCCTGTGCGTGTATCTGAAATCGTGCCCATTGTACGTGCATTAACTCATAGGCAACAGTAATCTATTTCATGTTGGTGCGGAGACGAGCCACCATAGACTGGACCCACGACCTTTACCTTTATGTACCACATTCAGTTAAATATTGTTAGATACGGTACCGCACGTTGCTGAAGTGTCACATGCAATCGACTTGAGTATTCATCCGCGCCACACTTCCTCCGTACGTTTCTCGCGTCTTTGACCGTAAAATATCAATCGCATCGTATTCTTCTAGACCAGTGTCATTTACGTATCTTTTCTCTCTATTGCCAACTCAGCAAATCCGCTAATCGCATTTGTTTCCCTCACTTACTTGCTCCAATTTGCTCTTCATCTATTTTCTTCTATTATTTACTATGCCTAATCGGGTCATTGAATACAAGTTCCGTAATTGATTGGGTCTTTGCTTGTTTTCTCTACCTTCGTTTATTGTAAAGTCTAACAGAATGCAAACGCCCTTCCGCCTACTCGAGCCGACAACTTGTTCTCCTCTCGCCACTTTTCCCTTCAGGGTCTACATTGTTCGTATTCGTGGTGAGCGACATTCAGAGACACAAAGCAAACTTCATCACATTGTGAACAGCCTGTTTCCCAAAAACCAAAAGTTCATCGTCCCAAAGGATGCTCCAGTGAATATTTTCGTTCGTATTATTCAATTCATCGCACATGTAAGCATTTCCATGTAGTTTACAACAACTGCTTCAACGGTTCGGCATCTTGATTAGTTCTTGTAATCAACTGAGGTTTCTTAATTTTGTATGAACCATGTGTGTTCTCAATTATTAGGTTTCAGTGGGGCGTTTTCAAATCAGTAACTTCATACGGCCTGGCAAACTAATGACTTTTGTTAACTTTTTACCATACGCACCATGTCTACTGTCTCCTTTGGTCTATGTTTGCTTCGATCACTGCAGGGTGATCGAAATTTCCCAGTTGCATGACACCGATTCAACACTGCGATCCCAAATCAGTTGGTTTTTTTAATCACTGGCACAGGCTTTCCTTAGGCGGAGCGAGGATAAAGATATATCATCCAGTAGACGAAACCAACTCGCGGTCACAGTGACCGTTTTGAAGCGGAAACCGGAATCGTTCCATCGATGCTACACGTCGTATCCAAAGTGTAATTTCAACTTCATTCCTTCATTCTACACTTTAGTTAGGAGTGAGAAATACCTTTGCTATTGTGCGGCGATACATCTAAGCTAAATGGCACTAAATCTAAAAAAGCAACAACGACGAAGGTAAAACGAGAAATAAGTATGTTTTGTTGATACAGTGCGATACATACCCAGAACTACTATGTAGTCCACCTGGGTGGCGTCACAAAAGTTGCTCCTTCAGGGCCAAGCTGTTTTTTCAGGATATATATATATATATATATATATATATATATATATATATATGGTTGGCGGCATCCGGTTTCCGATTTGCCTGTCACTGAGGCCAAACACAGCGCGCCTGCGCCCACAGAGGGACCATGGATGGTTTGCGCTGACCCGCACACAGCTCCATCCACACACCCCCATATCCAGTGTAAACCCGAAGGAATAAGACCGGGAGGCATGTGGATGGGAGCCAGGTTTCATCAATGGAGCCGGCCCACACACCTTCACAGGCAAACACGAGTACGCTGTATTTGGGGAATCGAGCGCACACAATGCGGTGGCTGGACCGTAGTCCGCTCCACACTGAGTGCATGGAATCGGTCTTCGAGCCTAGCACGGCCATAAAGACCGTGCACTCCGTCCCCGCCAGAAATGACCAACTGTCTCCTGGAGCCAGTATGGACGACGTAGTGGGTGACAGACAGGTAGGCACCTTGTCAACATGCACATCAAGCGCAGCCACACCGGGGATAGCAAGCAACAGCCAATCACCTGACACGACAAGATGAAATAAAATAAATCGAATAATACACACAGATACGGTGGCATGACTCTACGCTAAATTACCACATGAAGTAAGTTGGTTAGCAACGAATCCGCGATAAGGAAAAAAATGTCCACAGGTTACTTAAAAATGCTAAAAACGCAACAAACTTACCGAAGATAAGCACGATTAGTGTAAGCAACGTGGCCATTTGATATAAGATTATTCAGGTAGGCAGAACTAATCAAATAAACTGGAATGAAATTTAGCCAACTTAGAAAGACCTAGTTTAAGTTGATTTAGCTCAACTGCGGTGAAGAAGCATCAAGAATGCAACCTCAACTTCAGCATGGGGCATATATATATATATATATATATATATATATATATATATATATATACTGCCATCACATATACAGTGCTGTCATAGGTGGGTAAGCAACTACCAACAAAATTGGAGGAGCATAGGCAAGGCTACGGAATCTATTATGTGTTGTTCTTGGCCTCAGCACAGATTGACGGAGAAAACAGGTTCAATCGAGCTAAATCGACCATTCTGCTACACACAATGACATGAAAGAGATGGGACTTCCTTGAAACCTGGCTTTTCATGAAGAATTCGATAAAAGCACGTTTGTATCAACCCTATCTGCCAGGATTAAGGAATGAATAAATCGAAAGTATTGGATACCGTTACTCGAAACAACTGGAATTAGTGACTTCTAAATGAGCGGAACGACCCAGTAACTACTTCGCACCGCGTATGCGACTATTGCGCCAACAGGATTGCAAGGATTCATCACACGTCACGGCAACCAAGAGCAATCATTCAAGTATCACTAAGCACAAGAATTGGCAGTCACTCTTTTAAATGAGGTATTGTTGTTGTCACCTGAAGGAAATAATGATCAGCCTAGTAACTGACTGCACCTGCCTACGCATGCACTTGCGAAGCAACTTACTATTACACACCGAATATATCGCCAAGCTTTGTGCCAGAAGCCCCCCACCTTATTACCCAGCTCAGTGGGCAAATCAGTTACTACTTACTGCGGTGTTATTATCACTTCGTTTTGGCTTGCTTAATTCATGATAGCTGTCTATAAGGTGTCTTTTGTTCCCTAGCTTCGTTTTTCTGGGGTTTGTTGCTTAAATTCGATGTTGGTGTGCCTAGCCACACCGGTGTGTTAAACATCGGCTCACTTTAAGTACCAGTTGTTACATTCGGGTGAAATCAGAAAACACGGTTGTGTAGTAAGACGCTTATTCGTATAAACGAATCTTAACAACCAAGTACTGCTGAATATTGCATTATGGTAACAAGTAGAGATCTGATTCTGTACAACCTCATCGGTATATAATTGAGATAGTAAAAAATAAAAAAACCTGTCCGTGACGTGCCAGGTTCCCACGTGATTTCGCAAAAGTATGACCCACAGTAACTTTGAACTCACAGATGTGAGATGCCATTGTCAATGGGTAACAGTTCTCTGGACCTAAAAACTGAAAAATATAAACCCCACCAAGTTTTGGATTGCTGCATTGGATTGGCATCCATTATGTGTTCCGACAGGCTGTTTCAAAGATTGACCACTCTCTGTTCGAAACAAAGGGAGTGGAAAACTCGCTTTACCTTCATCACCGCAAGCTTATGCTGCTGTCCGCCCATGCTGCATGAAGCTCGTAGGTGCAGCAGCTGCCTTAATAGACTACAATAAGTCAGATGAGGTCGACTTGCACCCTACGAACCGGTTCAACAAGTCGCTACCAGGCTCATTCCAAATTCACGAGAATTACAGTAGTAAGACCAGCGTGTGGAACTCAAAATGTACACCTTATTAGGATAAGATGTACATTCTGAGCTCCACACGCTGGTCTTAGTACTGCAATTCTCGTGAATTTGGAATGAACCTGGTAGCGACTTGTTGAACCTGTTCGTTCTGCGCCTCGCCTTGGGCGTTCGGACAGTAGACTGGCGAGCCGTGCTCTAGGATTGGTTTTGTGATGGAGAGGAAAAGGCGAGTGGTGACCTTTTTAGACCAAGTGCAGAAGCTGTAATTGAGCGGCCAGAGCCTGCGCAGTCCGTTTCGGTGTAACCTGTTCGTGTTGTCCACGGAATTCAATTCGTATCGTGAGAGTACGCCAACTCTGTTCACAGAAGGTGGTTGGTGATGGCTGTTGACCATCAAGACTGCAGATTTGGCCGTCACCACCTCTCCAGGCTCATGAGTACCGACTTGGATAGGTGGTCCGGGATGCGGACTTCTGCATATTATACGGATAGGTTTAGGTCTTGCTGAAGTAGACCGCAGTCCTCAGCAGCGCTGAGGGCTGTTTACATCTGCAAATGGTCCTCAAACGGGGCACACGATGACTGAAGAGCTTAGTAGATGATTCACATTTGGCAGAAACGATATATATATATATATATATATATATATATATATATATATATATATATATATGGTTGGCGGCATCCGGTTTCGGATTTGCCTGTCACTGTGGCAAGCCACAGTACGCCTGCGCCTACAGAGGGACCATGGGTGGCTTGCGCTGCACCACACACCCCATATCCAGTGTAAACCCGAAGGAATAAGACCGGGAGGCATGTGGATGGGAGCCAGGTTTCATCAACGGAGCCGGCCCACATTCCTTCACAGGCAAACACACGCACACTGCATTTGGGAAATCAAGCGCACACAGGGCGGTGGCTGGACCGTAGTCCGCTCCACGCTGAGTGCATGGAACCACTCTTCGAGCCTAGCACGGCCACAAGGACCGTGCACCCCGTCCCCTCCAGCAACGACCAACTGTCTCCTGGAGCCAGTATGGACGAGGTAGTGGGTAATAGACAGGTAGGCACCTTGTCAACATGCACATCAAATGCAGCCACACCGGGGATAGCAAGCAACAGCCAATCACTTGAAACGACAAGCTGAAATAAAATAAATCGAATAATGCATACAGATACGGTGGCATAACTCTTCGCGAAATTAGCATATGAAGTAAGTTGGTTAGCAATGAATCCGCGATAAGGAAAAGAGGTCCACAAGTTACTCCAAAATGCTACGAACGGAACAAAATTACCGAAGATAAGCGCAATTAGCGTAAGCGACGTGCCAGCTAATAGAAGACTATTCAGATAGGCAAAACTAACCAAATAAAGTGGAATGAAATATATGCAGCTTAAAGATACCTAGTTTAAGTGTAAGTTGGTTTAACCCAACTGAGGTGAAGAAGCATCAAGAATGCAACATCAGCCTCAGCATGGGGCATATATATATATATATATATATATATATATATATATATATATATATATATATATATATATAGCAACAGTCTATGAATAGACATTGAGCCATCGGAAACCATGGAACTCAAAACAAGGTACAGAAATAGTAAAAGAAAACACAACACATCAAAATGCAAGGTTTCGTCAGAGGGCGAGCTACTACCCGGTTGCCCGAGCCGAAGTAGGGTGTTGACTTAGGGGACACCACCCCGAGCCTTTGGCTGAATAGCCTTCTCGCAAGGCAGCGGAGCGAATTCAGGGAATCGCGCCCATCGGGAGCCGATGACTGATTGCTCAGTTCATACGCCTTTCGTCTGTTCCTTTGTAAAACAGGGGCCCAATGCGCTCTAAAATTACAGCATAAACTTGCTGGAATACAATGCTTCGCCAGGATGAAGCAAAGGGCAGTGACTTTATTTAATGGCGAGTCACGTCCGCCACGTCACAATGTTGTTAAACGGACATATGTGGCTTTTTATAGGGCGAACGCTCGCCAGGCGAAAATCCACCACGTCCTGGAACACTGCCGCCGAACCATTTGCTGGAACGGGAAAATCCCGAACCACCCAGATGGCACCACGAGGAGGTTGTTCGGTGCTGTATCTTAAGATGTCTCACTTGGTCAGATGGCTGTCGAGCTTTACTGCACATTTTCGTCCAACGATAAGCTCGCGGATCCAGTGGTGCAGTGATTGATGAACAGCGCATACTCTCAGCGTGTAGAGGTGTACCTCGTAATACTTCTTGTCGAACGCTTCGTTGAAATCACGTGGACAGACTTCCTCTGCTTCACTTCTGCCTCGTCACCAGCACGTTGGTGATGCATGACCTAGTTGACATAAAACCTTGAGGTGCGGCCGTCAACCATAGCGGAGCCTTGTTCACGGCTACCTCGGCTAAAATAGGTGTGAAACAAATTGGCCTGTAGTTGTTTACTTACCTGAGACCACTTCCTTTCGGAATCAGCCTAACCATTGAGCATTTACAATCAGTGGATAAGGAACCTTCGGACAGTGATCTGTTGAACAGGTCAGTCACAGTAGGTGAGATGCTGGCGGATAGGAACTTGAGAATCAGGGGGCAGTGCCTGTCAGGCCCCGCAGGTTTGATGCAGTCAGGATTGGTGAGAAGTGGTCGTATCTTTTCAATGCCACAAACGAGATTTTCCAGTTCGTCAAGTGCGGTATGCTTAGAACTGGGCACAGGCACCTGGTCATTTGCAAGCACAGAAGCAAAGTGCACCACTAACGCGGACACGCTCAGTACTGACGTTTAAGTACTGTCCGTCCGAGCACCCTATCATTGGCAGGTCACTTGCAGGCTTCAGGTGCCGCTTCACGAAACAAAGAGTATCGACAGGGCGGTCTTTTATGCGGTTGGTTGCACTTTTTCGAAACGCCGGTGCTTGCTCGTTTTTGCGCTGTTGAAAATATTTGCTGGCATTGATACATCTAGTAATCGTCGACCGAGCCGGAGATTAGAAAGTTTCCCACCGTTTGCGTCATCGCCGAGCCAGTTAACCATACCCTTTGTCGAACCAATGCGGCTGGATTCGTCCGACTTTCCAACATATGAGGAACACTAACCGGTTACACAATGAGTTTACTTTTTCTTTAATAACTGAAGAGCGCAATATTCAACATTTGCAACTTACCACAGAGACTGATCTACATGGCTCGTGACTCGAATTAGGCCGTCAAAGTCCATTTTCTAGTAGTTGTAAACCGGCTCTATTAGACGGGAACATTGTAGCGGCAGTTCAGCGCTGGTAGTAAATACTGAATGGTCGCTTACTGCCAAGGGCTACAGAAGCTGAACCTCACACACATGTTTGCAGCTTGTTACTCTCAGGTCTAGATACGACGCATTTGAATGTAATGTTAAGCGCTTCGGTTGTGCCACCCCATTTTAAAATGCCGTTACAGTGAACTTTGTTTCAGTCTCACCATATCTAGTGATAAGTTGCATCTCAGGTCAGGGTATTGGAGGACATTTAAAACCACCCATGAATAATATATGTGTACGACTCGTGGTTTCGCAGATGCTTCAACCAGTCCTGTCAGATGTCACATGAATTTGCCCACTTTGCTTACCTGAGCTTTTCGTTCTTTTTTCTCTTCTAGGAGAAGTTGGAGTTTGCCGTCAAAGAAATCATCATTGACCGCCTTGGAGTAAATGGGCTACAAAAGAATTTGTACATGCCGGAGGTGAGTTGCGCTTCTTTTGCATTCGACTTCTACACTCCTCCTCTACCCCTCTGTAGTCAACGATTTTCTCACCTTCCGTGGACAAGATGTCAAGCTTTATCTCGCCGTCTCGAACCCCTTTTCCATATTTGCATTTCTTCATGGACATTTCACCGTGTAGCATTACCAACCGCGGTGCTCGTCGCGCCTTTGATGTTAAAAGTTGCGAGATCCTTAGGCGCTTGTGCTAAAACTATTTAGCCCTTCTGTTTTTATTACTGTATGTTGATCAGTATTATAAAGCACATACAGAGCTTATGGATGCCATCTGTACGGTATATAATGGTGTATTTGTGAGGAAATAATTCCCTTCTAACTTCCTTTGCTGAGTTCGCTTGATTTAATTTGATTGGTATAATCAGTGGCGTTTCTTCACCCGCTTTCATATATCTAGAGGTTAATTTTCCACCCCAATTAGTTTTGCACACTTCTACTTTGACTCCATTTTCTCTGCATTTTCTTTGCGTTCACCGTCATTTTGTTACCGCTATTACTGTCATTCTGACGACGTGAATCTTGCAAAATGTATCCATCGCGTCTCGGTGCTTTGATCATACTTGTCCAGCTAAGCCGGACTGATTGCAGTAATCGGCTACGATTTAAGCAACTAATTGTGGTCGATTGAACTGCCATGAAAGTAATGAGTAAAACCAGTTGGAAACTGAATAAGAACGCGAACAAGGAACCAAGGGCATGTGAACACGAAACAATTATGTTCGTCATGTGGAAAGTTGCGAATCGAGAAACATTCGGGTTACTGCAAGAGCACTATTGTCCTTTCGACTGTGCCATGCGAAAAAATTTTCCAATCACCGGTCTGTTTCAGGAAACAGCTTAAGCTACCTAAATAGCACCTGTCAGGTATGCTCCACATACATTTCACCCGTCACGGATACCCTGGGAACCGTCTTCCCTCTTTCCTTCCTTGAGTCAAACTCGTTTAACACTTTGTGTCCTGGCGATACTTATAAGTGCCACTTTGTTTAAATTGTATTATTGATTAAATGCAAACTTTATTCCTGCCGGTACTCGCGATGATACGTACAATAGCCTGTCAACAATTAAGTAAGGGCCAAAACCATAATACTTTGCTCTACAGTGTGTGGAGTGAGCTTTTGTAGTTCATGTCGGTCGTGGTCGAAAATTGGTTTCAGCAAATCGTGTGGTTGTTCTATTTGTTAAAATTTAGTTGGTTTTGTTGCAGGTTGCCAGTCCTATTAATTTTTATTCGTTTTGGACTGGACATACCATGATTCGATGTATTTAGTTTACAATTTTAAGCATAATCCGTATTATACTGATCCAGCATATTGGTACCAGAACGTACCGTCATGCGCCGGGCGTAATATTAGCAGCTAGAGCATTTACTTGGCATAACGACGGTGTGCGGCGCAAAATATTCTTTTAACAGCAAGTAATTTATTAGAGACCCCCCTCGATCAATATCTGATGCTTATCGGATACCCGCCTGCAAGACTCGAGCTCGGTGCTCACTGAGATCCCCTTCAGGTGACGCAAGCAGTATTTTCTCATTGCGCCTATCCGGTGACGATGCAGCTTCGAGCACCGGCCAAGCTGGTATTGGCATTGCCCTGAGTCCCCGGGCTGAAGTTGCCCTAGTTGACTGGATTCCAATCAGTAGCCGGATGTGTGCGGTCCGATTGGCTGGCTCATTCAAAGCTTCGAAGTCGCGCGGGACTAACAGGTGTCTATACATCATCGCTGCCTACGCGCCCACAAATGGTAGCGATGATTCGGTAAAAAAACGACTTGTATTGCCAACTGACCCAGCTTCTTCGCCACAGAAGAAGCACGGACACTGTTGTGCTGGCGGGGGGTTTGAACCCACAAGTTGGAAACTTGTCCACTGATGAAATGCATCTGGGCGGTCAGCACAGTGTAGGCTCCCGTAATGATAACGGTGAGCGGTTACTTCACTTGTGTGAACATGCCCGCTTATTTCTTGCGAGCACTAACTTCGGATACAGCACTCACCGGAGGGTGACTTGGCGCCTATCAGTCTTGGACGCGAATCGATCACATTGCACTCAGTTACCGCTGGAGAGACTGCATTCAGAACTATCGCTGGATTTGGAGCACATGTGTGGACACCGATCATGCACTTGTATTTGCTGACATGCGGATGCGTTTTGGCAGATGTCCACGAGGACGCTGTGAGTGTATCGACACCAACCAACCGACGAAGCCAGTTGTTTTGAATGCCTACCAAAGTACGCTGATATGCGAGTTGAGTAAGTGCTCACTGGTCTCATGTTCACCGGACCTTACTAGCGGCAGGAAAATCCACATGTGGTAAGTCTAATCGCAAACGCGGACATTGGATCTCTTCGCAGTCTCTGGAAATTATCGATGCTCGCCGGCACATTCCGGTTGGAAGCGAACACAATGGAACTCGCAAAGAGCTCCGGGCAAACCTCCGTGATAGACTGAAGAGACCGCGAATCCTGGTGGTCTCATAGTATATCAGTGATGGAAATGACCGCTGCCCTTGGTAGCCATTGTATGTTATTCCGGCTGATACGGGAATCGAGCAGCGGGAGACCTGGTGTTAATGAAACTATACGTGACTAGAGTGGACGACGTATCCACAACTTGTCAAAACGCTTAGAGCGTTGTGCTGAGCGCTTTGAGAGGCAATTTAATCGATCGGAATTGTCAGATTTCTCGCCGGCCACTTATCGCCCTGCTCCGTGGGCATCATCATTATACATGTCAGCTAGAGGTGGGGAAACACCTCCGCTATTGTACCGTAATACATAAAGGAAATACATACATAAATACAATACATAAAGGAAAAATAAATACGACAGTTGCATGCCAGCTGAGCTACCAGCAACGGACAGGCATCGTTCCAATAAGCTACCAGCCAGCTATTAGGTAAAAAAAAGAAAAAAATATTGTTTTACGCTAAGAAATGAGGTCGTAGGTGGAGGGAGAGGCTAAAAGGGATGGGGTGGGATAAAGAAACTCACAGCACGAATGCCACTGAGGTCGGCTCCTTGTCATGTCAACAAGTGTATCCAGCCAGACGTGTTCACCGTCTTTTGGACCCCAACCAGGGAGCCGTGAAGCTCCAACTGAGGCTAGCTCCGAAGTGAGGAACTTCATTCCTCTGGACCAAGTCATCGCTTGGCCACCTCTCCTCTTCTTCCACCCACATCCCAGGTGAGCAAACGACGCACGTCGAGGGAGTCGGTGGGCTGGCATGCGTAACACGTGGCCGGGCCATCGGATCCTGGTGCGGGAAATAATGGTGCTGAGCGCTTCAGTTCCTTTTCCTGGGCCGTAAACAAGGCGTCGAACACCCTCGTTACTCACGCGGTGTTCCTACCAGATGTGAGCCAAACTGCGAAGGCACCGTGGACTGTCCCTTTGGATCCGCTCTCTCGCTCAGAAGTCGGACGTTGAGGTCGGACTGTTGGTTAGATGAAGTCGCGAAACCAGATGGTCTTCATCCAGCCCTCTTCAAATTCGGGGGACCTGCTCTTTTTGATGATTTGCACAAATTACTAGTGAAAATGGGAACTGGTGACTGTCCCGACAGACTGGAACCGCTCCGTCATAGTATCAACTTTCAAGGGAGGCTCACGATCGGAATGCGGCATCTATAGAGGAATCAGTCTGATCGCCATCGCTTCCAAATTGCTCGCCTTTGTTATCCTTCATAGACTGACTGGCACTCGTGAAAGCCATATTCGTGAAGAGCAAGCCGGGTTTCATCGAGGTCGTGGCTGGATCGACCACATCTTTATTTTGCGTCCGTTGTTGGAGCACCGTCACATATATTGGCGGCGCACCGTTGTCGTCGATATCAAAATTGCATTCGATTCGGTCCATAGTCCTGTTCTTTGGGACTGTCTAGTCAAGAAAGGTGTGCCCGTGTAATATGTAAATATTATCCGAGCATTATACGCGGGTAGTTCGGGTAGAGTGAGGGCTTACGGTCAACCGTCGCCGCTCTTCAATATCTCCAGCGGTGTGAGACAAGGGTGCCCGCTGTCACCTTTTCTTTTCACTTTCGTAATTGATGAAGTCCTGGAAATCGCGTTTGCAGTACAGGACTTAAAAGGTGTGGAGTTGCTCCCAGAAGAACGACTTTTTGACCTTGAGTATGCTGACGACATTGCCCTCATCTTTGACAGCTCACAAGCGTGCCAAGCTGCACTGGACAGCTTAACGCTGGCTGTCTGTCATTTCGGGCTTTGCTTTACACTCTCGAAGTGCAAAGCGTCCCTCCAAGATTGGCCTGGACTGCGTCCTGCGCTGACCCTTGGTGGGGATCAGCTAGAAGTCGTTCAATAATTCAACTACCTAGGAAGTTGTCTCAGCGCCCGTGGGATTGCAGATGTTATCATGAACCGTATAACAAAAGCTCGAGGCGCTTTTGCTAACCTAGGCCACTTATGGCATTGGCGCGACATCACTCTTGCCCTGAAGGGTAGAATGTACAATGCAGCGGTACGTTCGACCCTACTGTACGGTTGTGAAACCTGGCCCCTTAAATCAGCGGCTAGTTACGTTCGACCACCGTTGCCTTCGCAATTTGGCTCACATCTGGTGGGAACACCGCGTGAGCAATAAGTGTGTTCGACGCCTTGTTTACGGCACAGGAAAAGGATCTGAACCGCTTAGCACCGTTATTTCGTGCACCAGGCTCCGATTGCTCGGCCACGTGTTACGCATGCCAACCCACCGACTCCTGCGACGTGCATTGTTTTCGCCCCTGGGGTGTGGATGGAAGAAGAGAAGGGGTGGTCAAACGATGACTTGGTCGAGAGGAATGAAAGCCCTTGCCTCGAAGCTGACCTTGTTTGGAATTTCATGTCTCCCTGGTTGGTGTCCGATAGATGATGAACACGTTTGGCTGCATACACTTGCTGATATGGCTAAGAACCGGTCTCATTGACGTTCGTGCTGTGAGTTCTTTTGTCCCACCCCAT